TTTGCCTAATCTTCTCGGTACTTTAGACCGCGATGGAAACGCAGACAGCAACAGGTTTGGGGGAAAAAAGTTCCTGGGACAAATTGTTCCCGGTAATTTCTATGGAAAAGTGGCTCAAAATACTACTGAAGTCAATGGAGCCTACTGGCAGTTTCATTGTAATGTATGTACGTTCCCTGAACTACATTTCTGCGGCTATTAATATGTTTAAATGAAAACGAAAAGAGGCAGTGGTGTTTGATATCATATTTCGTCTTATTGTAAATACAGTGAGGAAAATTGCAGTAGCCAAGGCAAGCTGACTGATGTTATCAAGTACGCTGCTGTTTGCAGAATTACCGAAATTTGCGTACTTTGTATTGAAAAATGCACGCAGACCTACGTCACCAGAAAATTTGCCTAATCTTCTCGGTACTTTAGACCGCGATGGAAACGCAGACAGCAACAGGTTTGGGGGAAAAAAGTTCCTGGGACAAATTGTTCCCGGTAATTTCTATGGAAAAGTGGCTCAAAATACTACTGAAGTCAATGGAGCCTACTGGCAACTGTTTGGTTGCACACATTCTTCAAAATATCTTCTTTTGTGTTCAACAGAAGAAAGCCATTCACACAGGTTTGGAACAACTTGAGGATGAGTAAATAATGACAAAATGTTCATTTTTGGGTAAACTATCCCTTTAACATGCTGTCCGATGTGTCTCGCGAGATCTGACTGGTCTCGCAAGAACGTGACTATATCCTCGCAAGACCTTTCTTTGTTAATAGCAAGAATTGGACCTTAAAATAAAGTGTGACCAAAGCCCCGTTTCCACCGCAGGAACTTTTCCCAGGAACTAGGGACTTTGGGCCAGTACTAGAGGTCTGCACAGGCTTTAAACTGAAGCCCGAACCCAGCCCGTACCCGAGATCGTCTGACCCGACCCGACCTGACCTGACCCGACCTGACCCGAGCGGCACAGTTAAATTGTTCGGCACAGAGCCCGAACAAAACCTGTCATTACACTTAAATCAAATCACGATATGGACTAGTATCTATAAACATTAAGCCGCAAAAGTCGATTTAAATATGAATCCTGCACAGGCCCGGTGCCAGGGGGGGGACATCCCTGAGCCCCCCCTCCGGACCGAGGGGGACTACAACGCAATGGCCAATCAGATGTGTTTAGGTTGGAATCCACGCACTCACCGCTTTTTGTCCAGTGCTGAGTTCTCATGCTCGTAACTTCATTAAAAAAAAGTTTCATTGTGTGGTCACATTCATTGTTTAAAACGGAACTTTGTGAGATCGTGATGAATGAGTGACAGTTTTTAATAAATTTAAAGGGAGCGCTCTTTGCATGCTATACGAATATATATTTAGAATTTAAATAAAGCATGTGGTTTCCATGCTTGACAAGCTGCCACGTACGACACAGGGTTAGCTAACTACTACACTTTATAGAAAAAGATAATAATTTCAGAAGCACAAAGTGATGTGATTCTGCAACAGAGCCTGGTCCAAATGCAGGATTTAGGTAAGGAAACGGTTATTATTTGTATTGGCTGCCACGCAAAATCATGCACACCTGCTTGCTTTTCTGTTTAATTTAACAGTGTTTTTGTGAACATAT